CAGCCTCCCGAGTAGCTGGGACTACAGGCGCCCGCCACCTCGCCCTGCTAGTTTTTTGTATTTCTTAGTAGAGACGGGGCTTCACCGTGTTAGCCAGGATGGTCTTGATCTCCTGACCTCGTGATCCGTCCGTCTCGGCCTCCCAAAGTGCTGGGATTACAGGCTTGAGCCACCGCGCCCGGCCGACAGCTTCTTTATTAATGACATGCAGTCATTGATGAAGACCATATTTCATCTTCTGGGCGTGTCTGGGTATTTTCTCATGAAGTCATTTTGTCTTTTCCTCTATCTCCCATATTTCCTGTAAGCTGAAAGTCAGATCTAAAGGTTGATGAATTGGGGATTAGACTACATCTTAAGTGATGCTGTGTACATAAAGCCTGGTTGACCCGCCATTGCTGATGCTAAAGTTGACAGTGGGTTAAGAGATTGAACATACAATCCTTCCATTGTACAGCTACTTTTTCTCCCTTAGATCAATGTCTAGATCTGCATTAACTACATCTCTAATGTTGATTTTCTAATTCTATCATTTATTCTATATTATTGATGGCCTTTTTTTCTTTTAAAATAGAGCTTTCTCTCATCAACTCAGCTGTCTTATTATCCCCAGTGCAGTTGATATTGGAAAGAGAAGGTAAATAATGATTGCCCTTCAGTGTCAAATTCTTAATGTAATGCGTTGGTTTAGTAGTCATCTCAAGTTGTGGCATAAAAGTATTGTCCTAGCTTTTGCTTTTTGAGTTTCATTATGGATTCACATACTTTGATTGATTCAATGTGCATTAATACACTATAACCGCTGCTACTTTTGATGTTGAAATTATCATACTTTTGGCCAACAGGAAGGGACTTCTCGTTTCACAATCGTATTAGTTTTTGACAGCTTCTTTGCTTCCTGACACAGCAAGACATCACTTATCTCCAACCTGGAATTATCCATCTCACCAATTAAGTATGGCCTTCTGAAAGGGCAGCATTAGGTAATGTCCTATCAAACAGACTGGAAAGGTGCAAGTTTCTACTTTATTTTCAGGATATTATATGTAAATTACAGGGAATAGGAGAAAACATTGCCAAACCCGAATTCAACCTGAATCTTGACAATGGACTTCTCTGATGTAAAGACTCATATATATATATATATAGTGTGTGTGTGTGTCAATAGATAAGAGATATTTAAATTGCAAAAGCTTCTTCTACTTAATAAAAGTAAGACCAAAATTAGACCTTTGAGACCTGAACCAAGAGTTTTAATATCCAGCGCAGGTGGAGAGACCTCAGGATAGGTAGAGAAAGTTCCCATCATCAGGCAAAGAAAGCATAAAGCTCTATCAACAGAGAAGAAGAGAAGAGTACACCGCCAGGAGAAGGAGTTCTTGATTCTCCCTTCCTGGGGAGGAGGTTCCACCTATCAGTAGTGGGTGTGGCAGAGATGGAGGCAGAAATCAGTCAGAGCAGAGGAGCTTGCACTTACCTCCCACCGGGAAGGCTCTGGCAGGAGACCTTACGGAGCGCTCTGCACCAAGGTGATGTTCTACCTTAAAGGAGAAATGGCAGTGTAGCCTTCAGGCAGAACGCTCTCCCAAGTTCCAGGCAACAGAAGTTCCCAAGTGCTCCTGCTGAGGAAGGTAGCTGAGAGCTGTGGCCCATCAAGGAACCATCAAGGTGAGAAACAAGGTGGTTTCAGAGCCAAGATTGCTGTGGGTGGACAGTCTAAGCCAGGGGCCAGGTAAGGGACTTGCTTGAATCCTACATGAATGCCAAGGTGGGACAAAGCAAGCTGCAGATGCGACTTCCACCTGGGCCATGCCCAGGGGAGTGACTAAGCTGGCCCCACAGCACTAGGTACAGGGAGGACTGAAGCCTTGGCCCAGAGTCCCGGTGAGAGAAGCTATGCCACCACATGAGGTCAGATACGAGCAACAAAACGTGACAGCCTCGATTATGTGTGGTCCCTGCAGGACTCCAGGAAGCCATCACATCTGTCTTGCCACTGGACACCTACTTTGGAAGGAGCAAACAGGAAATGGCCCTAGTAAATAATTTGAGTTTTGAGTTGATGGATTCAGAAACTCGATTTTTCAAAAAGAAATAGTTTCAATCCAGAAAAGATTGTTACCTTTAACTAAGAAAAATGTTATTTTTTCTTCCACCATCAATGGGAATATAGGCTCCACGGCAAGATGAAATCAGTTAAACATCATGAATAAGCCATACTGGTCGCACTAACCCATTTGGGATGAGTTATCTTTTAAACCCACCTAGCACACAGTACAATGCAATTCAGAATACTTGTTATTACAATGATTCCCTGGTTCTTCAACTCTCTTGAGTCTTAGTGCACGGGCTGGAGGAGATGCCCGTGGCAGATGCCCTGGAAGGGGTCAGCAGCACAGCTCAAACAGCAACACAAACTGGTGCAACACGTTGGATGAGGACTTGGGAGACCACCGCAGACCTTATGAAGTGCCGTCTCCCACTGACCATCCCCCAGCGGAAGAACTACTTGAAAATAAAAATGTAGGAGATCTCTTTAGAAGAACTCTATTCATATCATACACATGCTATGTATTCATTACGAGCTGCAGGTTACATAATGAGGTGACTGAAAAATGTTTAGGAGGAGGCATACTACATAAAAGGAGGTGGCATAGAAAACAAAAGTATTCTGTCATGTTTTATCATCAGTGTCCAGAAATTCACCAAAAAGTGGAAAAATGAACTCATCCAAAGATGAATAAAGTGATCATCTGTAGTTATCTCATGAGTTTCAATATCATTCTGGCTATTTTTGTTGATGATAGGAAGCAAAATGACCCCTAGGGGAAAAATGAGAAAATTAAAAAATAAAATTTTATTTAATTATAATAAGAGCTAAAACATGAGGAGGAACAAGAATGGTAATGCAAGAGGCATCTTTTAAAAATAATTATTATTTTGCATGTGTTTAGTCCAGCCTTTTGTTTTTGCTTTGTCCTTATGAAGCTGACTGCTTTATCATTGTTAGTTTATCTGCCCTAGAAGATGAAGTCAGATTGACTTGAAAATATGGCCTATTCCTTTTATATATTTTAAATGTCTAAAATAAAGTTGAGTATATTCTGTGACCTGAATAGGAGAGCCCAAAAAATACTACAATATTTATCCTTCCCGCATACACAAAAGTACAGTCTTTGTTAAATGTTTTAACAGGCTTTTATGGCTTGATAGCCATAAGTTTTTTATCCGACAAGATTCACTCACAGTAACATGGTCTAGAGCAGCATTTAGCATTTTCTATTTGCACACTGCGAGCTCCTGGAATTTTTAGCTTCTGATTTCTATCAAAAGAATGAGAGAGGAGCTTGCTTCCCTGGAACCCCGCGTAGGGTGTGAGAGCAATGCACCTGTTCCCTAGGAAGGACACCGGGCGGGAGCTCCAGCACAGAAGGCTTTGCCAGCTCTCTGCTTAACACCTTCTTCCCTTGCACACGGAGTGCTTTCTGCAAATGGGCGTTCACAGGAGACTCCCTGTGCAGAGCAGGTCCACTCGGATGCAGAAGGCACCCTTCCAGTCATGAGAACGGCAGCCAGCCCAGGAGTGGTACCCATGGATGAGAAGGGCCAATTTAAGTTACAGCAGAGCCTTCAGCTAAGCCTTGGAAGTCTAAAGCACTAAAAAAAGGGGAGATCTGCTTAGAGGATGGTGCATATCCTGAGCTGGCTGAATCTCCAGACATGAACCAGGGCTACACACAAACAAAAGTTATGTGAAATATTAATAAAATAATGTAAAACTGGGGTACACGTTGGGAGATCTGATCTCTCATCCTAATTTAATAAAGAACATGTGTTGTCTTTGAAAAGTTCCTGATTTCTTTGGACATTATTCTTTCCTACATTGTTTGGAATGTTAAAAATGTGGGTTATCTTGGTTCTTACATATTGTATCATTTTACGCCACCTTTAAGCTCTAGAAGTCAGTCTGTGTGATTGGCAGGGGCCATGGAGGTCTTTCTCAAGGTTGAAATAAGCCACACTGTTTAGGGAAGTCAGCTGGTGAGGGAGCTGAAAAACTACCTCTGAACTGGTACAAAGTCACATTAGATTTGCCAGTTCTATAAAGCAACACATTAGATCACAGTCAACAGACACACTCACACGTGAGTATATTAAACATCATCTCCAACATTGTTTACGTCTTCTCCTTGAGTATTACCTGTGCATCCTTTTGCTCACTTTTGAGCCTCGTAGAACTTCAGTTCAGGTGGATCTGCTCTGTCAAGCTCTGTTCTGCCCAACCTGAGAGCCATTCCTGGGGGTATTTTCCGACCTATTGGCTGAGAACCCTCCTTTCCATGTCCAGCGTCCTTCAGCTGAATTGCCACAGCTCCTTGGTTGATTTCCCTACCAACAGTCGATTGCCCTCCCACGGGACCTGAAGCGGAGTCACATCCAGCTTCCTCTGCACCACTCCTGGCATAGGGTGAACTTCCAATGAGACCCTTCCATCTGGCTCCAACCTTCCTTTCTCACTCTGTCTCCTAACACTGCCTTCCCCGTTTAGATGAGTCTCTTCCCCATTCTCCAGCACTGTCCTCTGCCTGATGCTTCTTCTGGTTTGATTATTTGGTCTCCTCTCCTACTGCCCTCACTTCTCCAAATCCAGGTGCAGGCACATATTCTCCATGCAAGTGGTGACCTGGCTCTTTTAATACATGGTCCTTCTTCCATTTATTCATTCAACAAGCTTTTACTGAGGCCCAACAAAGGACCTGGCCTTGTTCTAGCTAAAAACTAGCCAAAACTCTTCAACTGGCATTTTATCATACACTTGCTCTAGTCATTTACAATAAATAGTTGACATTTATCATGAATTTACTATGCCAGGGGAGGTAAGTACTGTCCAACATGTGCATCTCATTCTTGCAATAGCCTCCTGAAATAGGTGCTGTTATTATCCTCAAGTCCTCATGCGAAGTAACGAGGCAGAGACATTAAATGACTTTCCCAGGCTGTGCCTCTAATACGTGCCCAGCTAGGATTCAGTGTCAGCATTCTGGCTCCAGAACGCCTCTCAGCCAGCAAGCTGCCGTGCACCCACCAGCAGCCCCCATGGCCTCTGCCAGAAACCATGCCAGGGATTTGATTCCTTCACCTGTGCCTGTCTTCACTCCCCGAATTTAATAGAACCCACATCTCTCACGCAGCAGAACTCTACAGCTCCTAAAGAAATCATGCTTATGTTGCGTATTATCTTGGTTAGCTTTTGCCAAAATCAGGTGTTTGAACCCGGTAATGAGGCCACAACAGGAACTTGTTATGTTGTACGGTCTGTGGGAAAAACACCAGAAAATGACACCGTTCCTTAGTTTTACACACACACATTTGCAACCTCAATTCTAAAATGTGCAGACTCTGTTAGTGTTGATTCTTAAGTATGACTACTGAAATAAAAATGTTAACGTTTACTCTTCTTCTTTTAAGACATGGAGAAAACTCATGGGAGGACTAAGAAATCTGGGAGAGGCAGGAAACCACACCCCTTCAACTCCCTGCCTGGGCAGAGAGAGAGGGCTCTGCACGGGATGGAAAGCGCAGCTGCCCTGACCAACCTGGCCTCACGGCCCAGAATCCTCCGCAGCCTCCAACCACCAGGGCTCACATGGGCTTAACTGTCCTTCACCCTGGGCTCCATCCACTTTGCTTAAGTAAATCTTTCACAGGTATTTCCTCAGCCACTTATTAGTTTTATAAGAGGAAAAAAAAAAAAGGCCACAGTACATTCCTAACCAAAAGTAGTTGTGGGTTTTCCATCCTCTCATGAGTGTGAAACTGCCCAGCGGCCTCCCTCAGGTCCTACCCAAAAATTATGTTTCGAGTCCAGCATTAGAGGAAATTCTGAAATGAAGCAGAAGCAGGGAGACTCATAAAATGAAAACCCATGTTTGAGCTTGCTGCTCAGCTCCCTTTTTGTGTCTATTGAAGCTTGCTAATAAACTTCTCTGCATTAGAGTTTGCTCTTAGGACTTACTCTGTGACTTGGGCCCTCACTGCCTCTGTTCTTACAGAGGCACTTTCTAACCATCCAGTTAATAGCACCCCTTCCAATATCTGAGGAATTAAATAATGTCTTCTAAAATAGTAATATTTATTATCGAAAGAAATAAAAGAAATTTGAAGGCTGTAAATACTTCTTTTAAAAATTTGGCCAGACACAGTGGCTCACGGCTGTAATCCCAGCATTTTGGGAGGCCAAGGCGGGAGAATCACCTGAGGTCAGGAGTTCAAGATTAACCTGACCAACATGGTAAAACCCCATCTCTACTAAAAATACAAAAATTAGCCAGGTTTGGTGGCACATGCCTGTAATCCCAGCTACTCAGGAGGCTGAGGCAGGAGAATTGCTTGAACCCAGGCGGAGGTTGCAGTGAGCCACAATCGCACCACCGCACTCCAGCCTGGGCAACAGAGTGAGACTCC